GTTTGAAAGGCTGAGCTGTATTCAGAATGGTTGCAAGCTGCAACTTCACCACCAAATGCCACTAAACCCTACACACTGGTCCTTTAATCTTCTCACCACAGCTGACATTTACCTTGATATTACTTGGAGGGGTTCCCACTTCCAGGCCTAGAACTACTACCCTACAGGATATTACTTAAATGAAAATCCTCAGTAAACATACAACAATTACTGTAATATAATTCTACGTTAATTTGCAGTCCATAATTGGACTGCACAACTACAGAAAGGTAAATATTATGGAAAGTAAAGACATATACAACATTAACCTATTTATAATACATAAGATAAATCTATATTAATTATCATAAAATACTAACAGGCCCTCAGCTTATTATACAGAGAACATCTTCTTAACACACAGTTTATGTGAATGGCTGCAGTTTTGTTTGGTTGAGGCAACAAAACTACTTGGTAAGGTTTAGAAAAGGCGACTCAAGAAAAAATTTGTTGGAGGTTATACATTCAAACAGTTGAAGGCTCCATGGTTTCCTCCAACAATTTAAGTAGAACTAACTCCTTTGGTTTTACAGTGCGCTATCATAATATAGAATGTATTGTGTGACATCATGTGGTCAATAATAGCAAGACAAATCAAGCAATCCCACGGTTGCGGCAGTGCAATTGCAGTAAGTTATAGCACCATGAAGATATTATTGCTGCTCTTTGCATATTTCATTTGTGTGTGTTGTAGCTGGATATTGTCCATGCTGCATGTGAAGTATCACCATTTTATATGCGCCTGGTATTAAAAGGCCAACTCAATTATTCACATTGAGCTGAAACAAACAAACAACAAATATGTTAATTGCTAAATTTCTGTCACAGTCATACAACATTATGATTCCCATACAGATAGTGACTGTAATCTAGAGGACACCAGGAGAGATCTAACACTGCTTCTATTTTACTCTGTTACTTCATACATTTCTTTGATTAATGAGCATTATGGATGCACCAAATGCCTCTCTGTTGTTTGTTCCTGGTGAGCAAGCTCCAAATCACTGTTATTAGTGTCGCACTCCAGCTTATTTCTCTAAGCTCTTGTAAACACTGTCCTCTGCTGGACGCCTCAGGCATGTACACCATTGTTTTAAAGTTTCTATTCCTGTGAAAACCTTAGAGCTGCTTTGCTTGAAAGACACTGAGCTCTATGGGGGTTGAGAAACCTCTACAATCATTGTGCTTCTAAAATCTTTTCCAAAACTCCTGAATAAAGTAAAAAAAAATACAAAATTCTGCAAAACAGTGGGTATATGCCTTTGCCTTTAAAAAAACATCTACTACTCTTAATATTAACTCTCTTGATATTAGTTTTGCTCATTGTTGCTCTAGTGTAGACCATTTTAAGTGGTTCAACTAATGTCTGTAGTTAGTGAGTTGGTCACTTCTTTAAGTCATGTCTTGAAAAATAGTGATTAAGGATTTAATGACACTGTAGTGCCACTGTATGGAGAGGATCATTTCTGCCCTATTGCACCTTGTTTTGAAGCACTAAGAAAGTTCTGTTACCTCTGTTAGACTGCATTTCACTGATTGTTTTAGTTTTTTTAGTTCTGCTTGTAACGGTCCCACATCTTGCTTAAAAAACCTGTCCACCTAAATATAAATCTTTTTTTGGAATTAGGTTGTATTACTTTTTCTTTTTATAAATAAGGCCAGCTGAATGTCAGCTCACTACTCTCTAAGTAGCATTACAGTGGCTGGCCAAGGATGCATGACACAGTCATTTGTATACAATCTAAACATTTGTGGGGATGTTCAGATGACAAAGCATTATGTGATTACCCGTAACCTTGACATTAGCCGCCATGACGCAGAAGTCAAAAGGTTTGTGGACTGGGGCCATCATTCACAACAAATCCTCCATATTGAACCACGAAACACGTCTGTGCCTTCCTAAACTGTTACAAGTCAAAAATGTATTTAGTTTTATGATGGGATAACATTACTGTTAAGGTTTGGTTTAGATACAAAAACTACTTTTAGGTTCAGGGTAAGATTGTGGCACCTCCATCGTCATGGTTACAATAATAAACGTGAAGGAGGGACCTCCTCCCTATGTGGACTTGGTCACTCAAGGTCACCTGACTTCCTCATCAGCTCCCCTCATTATTACTAGGGCCGCTAGAGGACTTTGTCACTCCAACTTAAACACATTTTGTTTGTCATTTGACATATTGACAATGACACTGACCAGATATGAGAACCAACAAAGGAACATTCTCCCGGTACGATGCAAAGTTGACATTTGTGTTGGTGCACTCATTTGCATCAGTGTTGTTTTTTAAGTGCCATCTGTTTGTGACCCACGCTCCCCCCATTTCTCCTCTACTGCACTCACCTGCCAGAGAACAAGTGCAGATGAGTGGAGAGCTGGCAGAGGCTGGAAGTGGAAAGAGGAGTGGGAAAAAAAAACCTAAGAAGTGCTGTGGGTGGAGGTTAACTACACTGTAGATGGAGGGATGTGGGAGCTTGAAGCCCAAGCTAAAATAGTCTTAAACAGTGTCATGCACTGACATACACTCCAGTTAGTGCAAACACATAATGGAACATTAACAAGCAAAATAATTAGCTGCTCATTAAGTCAAATGTGTGTATTGTATTGTATATTACACCTATTGTGCTTCTGTTTCAGATGGCAAAGCAGGTTTGTATCTCCACTTTGTGTGGAGTTCAAAACTGGTGATCTTTGACTGGTCAAGTCGCAGCCTCAACCAATTACAAATACGTGTATGTAGTTGAACCCTGAAACGGACCAGAAACCAGCAAACTGATTTCAGTGTGCGGCACATCCTGTACTGCCCGCATTTCACCTCAGCAAGCCTGCTTTTGCATTTATGTGAGCGTAGCCTGATTGGAGCAGGTCGTTGTCCGGAGAATTCACAGCGAGCAGGTGGGCATTTTCCATTGCATGGGGTGTAACTGCTTTGTACTCTTTTCTGCTTGCCTATATATTGGTTTCAACTCTTTCACATTTTTTTATATTGCGGATACGTCGAAATATATGTAGTTTTGATATCAATGCAAAAAATGTTATCATTATGGATAAGTCATCCTCCTGCCCGCTGTATCCGGGCACACCCCTCGCCAAAACCAAACGGGCAGTTTCCAGTAGGTGAGAATGCATCTGACATGGGCAATCTCCTGTTGAGTTCTACATGTGTAAAAGGGCAACTCCAATCAATGTCCAGACCTGATTCTAGGTGGCTCTAGGTTCTGGTTCAAGGCCAGGCAAGTGACCACCGCCTGCCAAGGCTAAATTCATATCTTGTTGTCTGACTTGCCAACCTGCACACATTTTAGCAGGTACACATCACGGTATGCTGGTATGATTTGTCACACAAAAAGCTGGCGACGCCTGTGAGTTCAGTTATGCCTGAGCAGTATTCAAATCTAACAGCAGAGACAAGCATAAGTATTGAGAATTGAAATTAGCAATACAGCAGTGTTAAGATACTCCATTTGCTGCATACTTGCATTTAAAACCTTACTTAAGTTAAAGTACATATACAAGCACATACAAGTATTGGCGAAAAATCTACCTGAAAGTGTCACAGTAAACATGTTCATTATGCAATCTGTCCCTATTTAGAGAGTTTTCAAAGTAGCATAAAATGGAAGTAATTTTTTCCTTTATAGTTGATTTATATGTTGAATAACTTGACGATATAGTGGTGAGCTGGGAAATTAAGTGGTGCGAAAGCAGTATTGTGGTACTCAAGAATATTTTCCCAAGGTGGGCAGGTCTGTGTCATGCTAAATGCCGGCAGAGTAAGTGGGGTCCACCACATACACTTCTTTAAGGCCAGCCTAATGTTAGCCAAAGTTAAACGCTACACAAAGCAGGACCCTTGATATTTGATTAGCTTAGCTTAGCATAAAGACTGGAAACTGAGGGAAACAGCTAGCCCGGCTGCCCAAAGTAAAGAAAGGGAGAAAGAAATCTACCTTCCATCAGATCTAATGATCACTTATTAACAGAATGGGCCTCACGTGTTTTATCTGTACACAGACCGAAATGTAAAAACAATTTGTGTGGGTGTTTAGAGAACATTATATGGTGTAATGAGCTCAGCACTTTTGTTGTGTGTCTTGGTTGCCTGGTAATCTTGGAAATGACAACACTCCAGGAAGTCATTGCCTCTGGCTGTTTGCCAAGTAGTAGTTACAGTACATAACTCCCCACAAAACCCCCACAAAATGCTGTTTGTGCACTGATTAAATAAATTAGATATAATGGTTCATTTATATCTAATTTAGTTTAATTTGTTTCCCGAACCAGCTGAAGGGGTAAATGCAGAACACCCAGACTGAACAGAGAGTAATTCATTTTCAAATGAGTTTAACACCCTACCAGCAGCATTCACCACACCATCAAATCAACAATAAAACACAATGGTATAAGGGTTCGAGTTCTTCCACAGTTTCTTTGAATTTTTCTTGGTCAGTTCCAGGAAGGTACACTGCCTTTTAACCAAGCACTGCCAAATTAAATCACTACATTTCTCTGCAACACATGAAAATCTTACATCTAAAGCACACTTACAAAGTACAATGAGAAGAGGCTTTATGTGATTTATGTATTAAATAAAAGAGAGGAAATTCACATTAAACAGGCTTCACTATTTGAGTACACTATGGCCCTCTGTGAAAGTAATTACTCACCTGTGATTGTTTAACCTACAAAAAAGACGAAAACATGGCTGCCATACACTGCATTATTGAACTCTATCTGTCGTCATGGTAACAAACATAAGTGAAATTCAGAAAAAGGAAGGATGTGGATGGCAGTCACTTTCACACTTCGAGGATCCGGAGTAGAAAATGTATCTCAAGAGATCAACATATTTTATTCTACCTTTATTATCAGCTGCCCAGGTATTATTTAGGCCATTATTTGTATGACAACCTTTACATAAAAGTTTACTGTAAAAGGAGCATTAAAGTTCATTCCATAGTAGACTTTCTGTAGTGTGACCAAAAAAAAGGCGTGTGTGTGAGCACACATAGCACATGCTACACCACTGCTGAGGTAGGAAACACAACAAGGTGACATTTTTACTGCAGGGTGAAAGGGAAAAAAAAGGGTATTTTCAGTCTGTGTAATTATTCCTAACACCAAAAGGTTTCAAAAGGTCTGGAGGCGATTCTTGAGTCAGCCCTGCACATCACAGTTTAATATGTTAATAGCTTCAAATGGCAGAGAGATGATGAATTATTTATGTCGATATCCCCAAGAGTTGAGCTGAGAAAACTACATTTCTTCATTGTAGTCTCTGGTGGGGTGGAGGGGGCTCTCTGATAGCAGCTGATTTTTCTCTCCATTTCTAGAGCAATCTTGTCATGACAACAACTCTGTCTTCATTTGCGTCCAGCCACCTCCATCTTTCTCTTCCTCCCTCACAACATCCCTCGTCCTTCCCTCGCCATAACTGCTTCACCATCAGGCAGGCCCGCTCTCTCCCATGTGCCCATCAGTGCTCCCTCCCACCTAAAACTACAGCAGGTACCTGTCCTTGAATGACCTGAGTCCAAAGCAGCTTGCCAGATGTCCAAAGAACTCCCCTTTCCCCGACAGTGGGTGGTAGTAATTAGTGTCAGCTAGCCTAATTAATGTCAAATCTCTTGGACGAGGTAGAGCCCTGAGGAAACCACAGAGCCTGTTCCTGCGGGATCGGCCAGCACACAAACACTCTGAGTCTTCTGTAGGAAGCTGCACAAATATT